AAGTGCAAACATCCATGTTATGGTTTGGTGGTGCTAAGATTCGGGCTACCTGACCGCACCCCCCCCTTATCTTCCACTCCCCAATTCAGGAGAGCCGAAAGCACCTCCCCTCCCCTTTACACACACATGTGGACATGCACACTTTCTGGCTACAAATGCATCAAGCTCATCAGTGCCATTCCCATGGCAACTCATTATGATGTCAAAGGAGGAGGGACAAATTACCAAGAGATTTGAAGGAACAAAATGTTCCACGGCTGATCCCTCTCCAGGCCCCTCCTTGCCCCGTTTGCTTTTGCCATGAACTCCCCCCTACCCCAGACTATCCAGTTGCTCCTCGGCTCTGGATGATAGTGGCCTTCTCTGCTCCCATTCCCTTCCTTAAATCTTAATTACTGCTTATTGCCTCGGTCATAATTATCACCCCCTATTCCCCCTGACAGTTACATTTTAGAATGACCAATCTCTGCACCTGAAGAAGATTTGCAGGACATGGACGTGTGGGAGCGACCGGTCCTTCAATCCATCCTCCCTTCCCATCCTGATATCCTTCAGGTTTATTTCTGTCTAGTACCTTTTGGCAGGAGCCGTCGAGGATGATAGCAGTTGTAGTGGAGCACCAGGTTAGGACAGGCTGCATTAAATATCAGGTAACTTTCCCCCTTCCCAGCCACGGCCAGATGGCCCTCGCTGGAGTCATGGTGCACAAATGTGTTCAATAATCCACAGCAGGTGCCTCCATTAGGGTTAGTCTTCAGGGAAGCAGGAGAGAGAAATTGCAAACTTCAAAATAGGCTTTGGGGAATGTCTGGTCCCCAGATTGCTATTTCTCCGTTGTTCTGCAGGTGCTGACCCCCTCCCTACTTAAAATAAATAAATAAATAAATAAATAAATGGCTTTGGTCCTTTAGTAGCAAAAATTAAGCAGGCAGTTTTTCTCACTCTATGCCAGGAAGAGCATTAACTGCTCTCTCTCTCTCTCTCTTTGCATAATGTACGGCTCTTTACAAGACACAGGAATAGGACCCATCAAAACAGAGATCAATCCAAGCTTCTCCTAACCTGGATTCCGAATGTGCCTGCTTCCTTCCCACACCTGGCCGCCTTGAAATCGGGTTCTCCCTTCCAGCCCCCAAGGAACTACTGCCAAACCGAGATGCAGTTGCCAAGGGAAAAAAGAACAGCCTGGCCTGCTCTTCATCTTCGAAGGGAGTTGATGAGCCTCGGCCAACTCAGGAAGTTTTTGCAGCACGAAGCAAAACACGGTGCCGTGCTAATTGCTCAAAGGACACTTACGGAAGACATGCTCAGAGGTTGGGAACCCTAATGTGGAGAAATCTAGAGAGGTAGCTGGAGATCCGGAGTTCTCCCCCACTCCATTTTAGGAAAGGGTCTTAACTATTGAGCTTTGGCCTTTGTATAGGAGCTAGACACAAGACTGACTCCTGGACAGATGCATCAAAGGGCCCAGCTCGAAATAATGACACATTTCAAAGGAACTTTTACAGTGCAGATACATTCTGGGCAACGGTGCTTCCTGATGCATGCTCTGGGGAGACACCAATCTTAGCTCAATGTACAACTCTTCCATCTTCTGTTGCCATAAAAAAAAAACCTGGGGAAATAGAGCAGCCTTGCAAATGGAAGATGATTCCCCCTAACAGTGAAGATGAAGCCAGGAGATTGCACAATAAACACCTTCTCTGGAAGTAGGGAAAGAAAAAGAAAACAGAACACGGCTACAAGGCAATAGATACATTTATCTGGCAGCTAAGCGCATTAAAGAGAGTGCCTTAATGCCATCCAAGTCTTCTCAACTTTTATTCTGGGCAATTCCTTTAGTTATTATTGTTTTACTTGGGTGGTTTTTAAATGGTGGTTTGCAAGAGACGAAGTGCAATATAAGCGTTTACCATAAATACTGTGTTTCTTTAAAAAGGTTTGAAGGAGACAAGAGAAGATGCAGTTTGATTAAAAAAAAAAAAAAAGGATTAGTAAAAAGCTGCACACACATACGGTGCCCGCTCATGCTCGCCTGCAGTATGTGTGTATCTTATGACAGTAAACAAAAACACAAAAACCAAGTTAAATACTATGGAGAAGTTAAACAGCTTCTTGGTTTGAACGCAGGTGAGTTGAGTCTAATGGAAAATAATTGCAGGACCCTGTCAAGTTGAACAGAAAAATAAGAACCGATTAAGGTAAACGTCAATTACTTTGTCTGCTGAGAATCACTCTGGAAATGATGGGGAGGGGGAATACTGCGTCTCGTAAACTAAAGGAAGAAGTAGAAATCTGAGAATCATCACTTGTGGATAAACATCAAAACGGACGGCTGCTTTTTTCTCCTAAACCTTTATAATTGTCGCTTTAATCTCCCTTTCGTAAGGGTTTCTTGAACGTGACTCTTGAAAGGGAAACAGACCAGAAACTTGCACAATGCTCTCGTTGCTCCCCTGGTTTTTGAGAAAAACAGTTCAAGCATGAGTTCGTCTTTGCTTTTCTTCTCCGCATGGCCAGGTCGTGCTTTTTTTTTAACGAGCAGGCTGTGCCTGGCAAATTGCAGATTGCCAGCAAAGGCAAACTCCTGTTAAGTGGTTTGGCACATCCAGGACTTTTCTGCTAGGTTAAATCCTAAGCAGAGATCGATGGGCAGGGAAAGTTGGGGAGGGGGGAATCGGAACGTGCGCCCTGCCGACCTGAATCGTGGTGGTTGAGGTTTTGTCTGGTTGTGCAACGATTTTTGCTCCCTGCTCCCTCTCTGTCTGCAAGAGCTGTGTTGGCTTTGTGAATTGGTGACGCTCAGAGGCAGAGGCAGCGTTCGCCGGAGAGTCCGTTTCGATGCACCAGGATTCTCAGTGGAGCTGCCGGGCAACATCAGGTGGAAAAAAAAATAAAAAGGGAGCAAAGGATAGCAAAAGCTAAAATGAGATCATGTCTTGATTAGGTATCTTTGCAAACGGGGGAGAAAAGGTTGGAGGCCGATGGCAAAATGGCAGGCCAAAAATTCCCCTAAATCCTGGAATTTCTGAGCAGTAGGATTATCTAGAGGAGACAGTCTCTCACTAGACTTGGTCGCTCAGCAAGCAGCACTGGCTGCATCCTGCTGGTGCATAAATCCTGGAGAATGTAACCACAGGTAGTCCCTGGGTGAAGAACGCCTGAGTTACAGATAACCCATAGTTAAGAACGGTGCCTATTGTAGCAGAATTCGAGTTAAATACACGATGGTTTGAGTTCATCACATAATTCTACTTATAGAGTATTATACAATAATACTGTTCTGGCTTACATACAAATTCGACTTAAGGACAGACCTTGGAAACAGAACTCGTTCTTAAACAGGGCACTCCCTGTACTCTAATTCTTGATGGAAGTAAGCAGAGTTAAGGAGGCTGTGAGTTCTAGTCCTCCCTAAAGCATGGAAAGCAGCTGGGTGATTTTGGGTTAGTCACTCTGTCTCAGCCCAACCCACCTCACAGAGTTGTTGTTGTGGGGAAAATAGGAGGAGGGAGCATTGTGTATACCACCTTGAGTGGTACAAAATACAAGTGGGGTGCAAATCAGATAAATAAATAAAATGAAGAAATGTAAACTAAATAGGATGTTCCCAACCCCTCCATTTGGCAATCCCTACTGATGAATGAACTTGCATGAACTTTAACATTGCTTACAACATAGGTTGAGAAACAAATGAGTGATAAATAGAGCACCCACAACAAAGGTTGCAATGAATGCTTGCTTATGTACTAAGTTCATCCATCTGATTGATTAATGGAAGCATAGTCAGTAAGATATTCAGTTGGAGGTAGTGATTAAAGGCACCAAGCTGGAAACCAGGAGACTGAGAGTTCTAGTCCTGCCTTAGGGATGAAGTCAACTGGGCGACTTTGGGTCAATCACTCTCTCAGCCCTAGGAAGAAGGCAAAGGCAAATCACTTCCTCAGATGTTGCCAAGAAAAGTGCATGGACTTATCCAGACAGTCACTAGGAGTCAAAAATGACTCAAAGGCACACACCCACAACACACCCACACACCCACTCACACACACACACACAAATCAGTAAAATAGATGGTGCTGGTTGCCATCTTCAAAGCCCTATTTGGCTTAGGACCTGGATATCTAGAACAGTGTTTCTCAAACTTGCCAACTTTAAGATGTGTGGACTTCAACTCCCAGAATTCCCCAACCAGCATGCTGGCTGGAGAATTCTGGGAGTTGAAGTCCATCCATCTCAAAGTTGCTAAGATTGAGAAACACTGATCTGGAAGTTTGCCTTTTCCAAATGGTTTCTGCCCACCCAGTAAGATCGGGAAGGGCAGACTTCCTCTGGGCCTCTTCTCTTACGGAATGTCATCTTCAAGGATCACGGAGATGAGCCTTCAGAGTTCTTTGGAACAGTATTTCTCCCAAGATTAGACCGGCTCCCCTGCCGTATCAGTTTTTCAGAAAGCCATCCAGAAAGCTATGCAAGAGAGCCTTCAAAGTAGATTCGTGATGAAGGGGAACCTCCTGTTATGGGTTTGGCTATTTCTTGGGGTGCTGGTGGGTTGTCTTGTTCTTTTTTTTGTTGCTGAAGTTATTTTCATGTTTGTTATAGTGTAAGCACTGCGTAAAGAAGAGTTAGTAAATGAATAAGAACCAGTTGGATGTAGTGGTAGAAGGCACTGGACTAGGAGCTGGTAGATTGTGAGTTCTAGTCTTACTTGGGGCATGGAAATCAACCGGTGCCCTGGGATAGTCACTTTCTCTCAACCGTAGGAAGAAAGCAGTGGCAAGCCACTTCTAAAACTGTTGCCAAGAAAACTCCAGGGACTTGTCTAAGCAGTCACCAAGAGTCAAGACTGACTTGAAGGCACCAAATAAGCAAGCAAACAAACCAGAGCAGTGCTAGTGAAACACAGGAGGATTACAAATGCATTATGACCTTGTATGGACCACATGGAAGATAGGAGCGAGCAAGCCCCAGCAAGTCCACAAGAAATCCACGTTTGGAAGCAGCTACAATACCATCCTGAAGCTGTCTTACTAATATTATCACTTCTTTTGCTGAAACAACAGGAACATGGTGTAGGCATGTGCTTAAAATACAACCAGCCCCAGAATGCTCCCCAGTTCTGTTTATTAGGCTTGGAAAACCACAGGTGGGTGGCTGTGAAAACCTACAGAGTGCAGATGTTATTTACATGCCCAGCTTTCTTCTTGTTGATTGTGGATCGTTATGTGACCCATCAAACAAATCGGAGGTGGTGAGCCATTCTGGGTGGCTTTTGGGTTGTTGTCCCCCTCCCCTCTTTAATTTTGCAATATCCAACGGAAAGCCAAAGCTTAGGGGAAAACAATGACATTTATTTGAATTGTGCGTTGATGAGAGGTGCTGTTGAAAGCTATCTTTTATTTTGTTTTGATGATGCTCTGTTTGCATAGGTGTGTGGCGTGGGGATTGTTCCTGTGCAATTATACTAATATGGAGAGTTAAGTGAGTTTGTCCTATTAAATCAGCAAAGCCCTTCCATGCAACTTAATCTGCTGGTGAACCTTGAACCTCCTTTTCAGGTGCTAGAATGTTGTCCCATTGTCCACTAATTAAGGACAATGGCCTTGAGCATGTGCAGAGGGCTCTTCTCTCACAACGGAGTAGCTACCACCGTTGATTGCATGCTGATTTTTGCTTCAGCCAGCCAGTCTTTGCAATCAACCATTTCGCAGCAAAACGGTACCAGATGATCCCTGCATTTTTAAGTGGGGTGCTGAAGAAGGATTCAGATTCTGGCCAACGTTCTTAGCCTTGTGGATGTGACCTCTGGGTGGTGCTTCCCTGTGGATCTTTACAACCAAGAGCAAGCATAGTCATGGGAGGCTGTTGCTAGTCTTCCTCTCCTTAGTGGGCCCCTTGCATCTGCCCCCGCCAGGTCTGCCCCATGAATCATGGTGGCTTCCATCTGATGCCTGTTGAATGCCAGCTAGCCTGGCCAAGAACAGCAGATGGTCTTAATCCAGGGAAATTTCCAAGGCCCATTAAAGCTGAAGGATGCCTGCCAGGTCTTTATAGGCATGGCATATCCGAGAGACAGCTGTGAATGGCCTATAGCTGGGGATAGTACTGTACTTTCTAGTACAGTAGCCAAAAGATTAAAAAGATATGTTTTGTCTTCTGCCTCATTTTCTCCAACTGGATTCTGAAGTTCTTGATCCTGCCATGCTTGTTGGCGACTGCCCCCAGAAGCCTCCTCTTTTTCCCCATAAAAGGGTAGGAGAGCTACGGAGCAGCAGGCAGCCTCTGAATCTCTTCCAGTTGTGCCACTGAAAAAGTAGAGATGAAATGTAGGCTAGACTTAGTTTTAAAAAACAAAGGCCCCCTCTTTTCCTCCACATTCGAGCACATTCCCCAGAAATTCTCAGTCCTGGTCATAAGGGACCCAGCCCTGCTGACTTTGTGTGATCAACTTGTCCACGTCATATAAGGCTTCACCCGCTAAAGCAGTGTTTCTGAACCTTGAGAACTTTAAGATGTGTGGACTTCAACTCCCAGAATTCCCCAGC